TAAATTGGCACAGAATGAGAGAATACCCAGTGCTCGGGTTGGTTGGGGGTCGGGGGACACAGAGATGGATGGATGGGTAGATGTGAACAAGAGTAAAAAATGATAGAAGAGTCTTTCTTGAAGAAAATTTAGCCAATATGTGTTCAAAGCCTTAAAAGCGTGCATACCCTTTCACCTAATAATTTCACTTCTAAGATTTTGTCCTGAAGAAATAATCTGAGTTCTGCAGTGATTTCATATAATCAGTAACCTTCATATACTTTATATAATACTTAAAAAAAAAAAAAACCCCAAACTTATTGCTGTCGAGTTGATTCCGATTTATAGCGACCCTATAGGATAGAATACAACTATGCCATTGGGTTTCCAAGGAGCAGCTGGTGGATTCGAACTGCTGACCTTCTGGTTAGTGGCCAAGCTCTTAACACTGTGCCACCAGGGCTCCTTATATACGTAGTCTATATTATACGTTCTATATACAATCTTTATATAAAGATTTAACTATAAAGATGTTATTCGCAGCATTGTTTATTACAACAAAAAATGGAAATAACTCATATAGGATAGTGGTTAAATTAATTATGGGTTAGACATAAGACACAGTCATTTAAAAAATGTTTCTAAAAATATTACTGACAGGAGAAATACATGCAATACATTCTTAAATTGGAGAGAAGGCAGGCTACAAAATACTGTGCCTATAAAATATGATCCTAATGCTAGAAAACAAATATGTATGCACGTACATGTGTACATGCAAATATAAGACCAGAAGGACACAGAGCAACATGTTGACAGCGGTTCATGGATGGGAGCATTACCAATGGCTTTTACTCCTCTGGGTGCCTGGCTGTAGGTTCTAAATTTTCTATAGCAATGTGTTTTTTAGAATCCAAAAAAGCCCCCAACATTATCTAAACAAAGAAGTAAAAGCTGGATTAAAACCTTCAATGGAGTTATTCTTCCCCAAATACAGTGGACATGTAAACCCTATGAGGTGTAAACATGGTCCCTTCCTTAAAGGGGCTTACAGTATATCGTTACTTAGGAAAAATAATTCCCAAGCTAGCATTGTAATATGTGCCACAAGAAACAAAGACATGTGGAAAGGGTCAGAGGAAGCAGGGAGCGCACTGGTGGTGGAATCAGCCATCTTTGTAGAAGAGGGAGCACTTTAAGAGGGTCATCAAGGTAGGGTAGATTTTTAGAGAAAGCAGGTGGGGAAGCAACAAAACCAGAGGCATGCAGGCCGGAAAAAACATGGACTTCAGCCATTAGCTCATGGATTGAGGCCATGAGTAGGAGGTAATCAATGTCTGAGTTGGAAGGAGACTGGGAATACGTAATTCAGACAGGTAACACAGGAGCCTCCAGCCAGGGTGAGTGGGGTGGGGTGGAGACACAGCAACCCTCGCACACAGAGCATCACACGCAGAGATGAATGCTTCCTTTCAGTCTTGCAGCATATGCAGATGCCAGTGGAGCTGACAAATACGAATGCAGTTAAAGGCATTACTCAATTCCTAAGGGCATCATGTCGCTTTCTATCTCCCTTGTCTGAAACACATCCTCCCCTCCAACCCAGACGTCTGCGTATCTGCCTCCCTCCACTTCTTCAGGTCTTCTGTTAGGAGAGGCACAAGCCAAAGATAAGTGGGAAAATTTGGCCCAATTACCAGAACCAGAAGTACATATAGCTGGTCTGGGGCACAGATGAACTACTGGTATAAAGGCAGAAGTGTCTGGGGAAGGGGAGGGAGTCACCAAGTCAAGATTATGCCCCACCCCCTTCGCACACCCGGACCCTGTCCCCACTGGGAACCGACCAACTGTGGCAGATGGCTAATGTCCAGAATTCTGACGGGGTTGGAGGAGGTTTGCAGACCCAATGCCCTGAAACGCCACAGGATCCTGACCCACAGCTCTTAACTTTCTTACAACGTGGGGAATGTCTTCACATTCATCACCTCATTTGGTCCTGGGAGGCAAGCAGAACAGGTATTGTGCCGTTGTACAGACTAAACAACTGAGACTCGGAAGAGCCCAGGAGCTCCAGAAGCGAGCGGGGCAGACCCTGCCTGGGCCCAGCTCCTTGTCATCATTCTCCCCATGTAAAAGCACAAGTTGTGTGGTGCTGCATGAGGCTGCGTATAGACAGCCTTTCCATCAAGTTTTGCTCTGTTTTGACATAAGCAGCTGGAGTAGAAACAGGCTCCTGTGGAGCTGCGCAAATGCCCAAGCCTGGTGCAAACAATTTTTCTAATTACTCTTCAAAATAGGTTCAAACATCTCTTGTGCTAATAACTATCAACTACAAAGTCGGTCTGCGGGAGGGTGTCCAGAAGGAAGAGCCTGGGCCTCTCTGAACAAACAGTAAGTTCCGGCCATCATCTGAAAGCCTTGGGGTGGAGGGGGGGGATGTCCAGCCAGCCAGCTGGCTACAGGCCCAGGCCATGTGGGCCCTGCAGAGTGCCCTCACCTGGGCAGAGCTGGAGGGGGTCAGGCAGCTGCTCCCTGAGACAGGGCAGTCTGAGGCAGGCTCCTCACTGCCTGGAGCAAAGGCAGCAGCCCTAACCCTTTTCCAGGCGGACTTCCCCAGGGGATCCAGGCCTGATTGTGCCTCTGGTCCTCTCTAGCCATGCTGTCTGTGGCCAGTGCTACACAGGGACTGAGTTTTTAATTTTAATCAAATTAAGTAGCCACTGTAAAAAGACTGTGCTGGTGGTCACACAAGTCTACATGTGTGATAAAAAAAACTGCATAGGACTAAAGACACACACACAGAGACTCACAGTCACACACACTTTCATACCACATACACATACACACACTCCCACATACATTTTCTGTCACACACATACACACTCATACACACACACAATGCTCCCACACATACACACTCATCCACACTGTTGCACACACTCATACATACACTCACATGCTCTCACACATACACTCTCACACTCACACCACACTCATACACATGCTCACACACTCATACACATACTTTCACATATACACACTCACACACTGTTGTACACACTCATACATACGCTTACATGTTCTGACACTCACATATACGCTCTTACATATACACACTCACACACCACATGCACTCACACACTTTGCATGTACTTATACATGTGCTCACACACATACATATACACACTCACACACACACTGTTGTACATAATCATATACACGCTCACACGCTCTTATACTCTCACACACACGGTCTCACACATATACACAATCACAGAGTCACACACACCACACATTCACTCTCACACATAAGTGTACATCCAGCCGGTGAGAAGAATGAGGTCAGTGGAGTGCACCCACACCAACTTCCTGGGTATGATGCTGTGTTGTCACTGTGCACGATGTTACCACTGGGAGATATCTATTACATCTTACAACTTCTTGTCAGTCTACAATTATCTCAAAAGAAAAACTTTTTAAAAAGTAAATACCACACGTGTCTATTGTGCTGGACAGTGCATCTCTAGAAAGTTACATTTTGACCAAACTAAAGAAACTGGGCAGTTACATTATGCCTCCCACTCAGGCTCTTGGTTTCCTCCCCCTTACATAACCCAAAGTGGGCATCTGATTTCGGTGGGCACTCCTGGGCACTCCTGGGCAAAAGAGGCAGTGGCGGGTGGAGTGTGGCCACAGAGTTAGCATGGGGGGGGAAGGGCGGGGTCTCCTTTTCAGAAAGCAGTGGTCGGAAGAAGAGCCCCGCCCGTTCTGCACCCAGCGACCCCTCGGCGGATCAGGGCAGCCGGGGGAGGGGCACCGCTGGACTCGCCTCCCGGGTTCCACGCGCACGTCCCCAGAGTCCGGGCCCAAGGTGGGCGCGAAGTGAGGGTCCCAAGCCGAGGCTCCGCGGCTCGCCCCTTTACCGAGAAGGAAGGAGGCACAGAAGAGTGCGAGAGAGCTGCTCTTGAGCAGCAGTCATCGCAAGGCCGAGCACCCCCTTCTCCGGACCCTAAAGACTGCGTCTGATCCTCGGCCCGGGGGTCCACGGCCGAAACTTTCGTCCGCGGTGAAGGCGTGGTGGGGGAGCCGCCCCCGCAAACGGCACATTCGCCAGATTCTATCAGACAATCATCCACACACACACCCGGTCACCCGCAGGTCCGGGCACGCTCGGGCCGGGGCGCGGGCGGCCGGAGGAGCAGGCCCTGGGGACGGACCGGGGGGACCAGGGGACTCGGGGATCAGGGGTTCCGGGCACTGAGAGGACTGGAGGGCTGGGCCGGGGGGCTGAGGGGTCCAGTCCAGGCAGCCCGGAGCCAGATCGGGGATTCGGGGGCCGAGAGATGAGTCAGGGCCGAACCTAGGAACCGGGGGGCGCGCCAAGGTGCCGGAGGGCCCAGGAGACTAGAGGACCAGGGGGTCCAGGACACCAGGGAACTGGAGGGCGGGGCTGGGGGATTCAGTCTAGAGAGTCCGTGGGCCGGACCGGGGTACTGGACCTGAGGTCTAGTCGGAGGATCCCGCTCGGGACGCTTGCGGCCGGCCTCATCGCTGGGAAGGAGTCTCCTCCGCAGCCCGAAGGAGACGGCGCGGTCAGGGCCCTTTCCCAGAAGCCCGAACCCCGAGCAGCCCACGGCCCCGGTTCGCCCAGGAAACGCCGCCCTCCCTACGAACGTGCAGCGCGCCTGGGTCGCCCCTCGGCTGGTTGAACAAAAGAGCAGTTTCGGCAGAGCGCTCCGGCCCCGCGCAGACTGCTACCGCTGGTCCTCGGCCCTCCGGCCGCGCCGGCTCCGAGCGGACCCTCCCGGTCGCCGGCTTTGTCTGCGGGGCCCGCAAGCAGCCGGACCCCCGTGCATCCCGCGGCCCCGCGCGGCCCCGCGCCGAGGGGCGGGCGGTGCACGAGCTTGGAAACTTGTCGCCGGCGCTTTCCCTCCCACTTTGTCAGGCCCCTCCACGTCCGCCCCATTCATTTGAAGGGGGTGCAAAGCCCCGGGCAGGGCAGAACCCTCCGCGCTTACCTTGCTTTTGACTTCCACGGCGCTGCAGTCGTAGAAGCGCAGGGTCTGAGACTTGTGGAAACTCCGGTTCATGGTTTCGGCGCCGGGCAGCCTCGTCGTCGCCCTAGCTCCTCAGGGGCTGCAGAAGGGCTCTGGGGGCCGCGAGCCTACCCGCCGCGCCTGGGCCCCGCGACCCCGCTCCCTCGCCGTGCGCCCCGGCCCAGGTCCGGGTCCG